CAGCGTCTCGGGACCCCTCTGGGTTTCAACTCTTGTGCAGCGGACGCGAACCACCAACCATGACAACAGGCTAGCATCACCACATAGTTTGGTAGCGGATAGGAAGTACACAGCCGGATGCAATGCCAAACATCACATGCGCCCAAATACACGCGCATGCAGCCACACATTCATAGGCTCGCGAACGAGGACTTCGTGCATGGTGCAGGTGGGCGACATGAGGCCCTACCCACATCCCCAGGCAGTTGTTCTTGACCATGGGGTGGTGGTGATGATGATGTGCGCAAATAACAACGCCTGCGGACACCATCTCACCACCTGCATGATGATGTTGATGCTGATGCTGATGCTGATGAGGATAAGGATGAGGATGAGGATGAGGATGATAATGAGGATGATGATGATGATGATGCTGCTGCTGATGATGATGATGATGATAATGATGATGAGGATGAGGATGAGGATGAAGATGAGGATGCAGAGGATGATGATGATGATGATGATGATGATGATGATGATGATGATGATGATGATCATGATGATGATGGTGATGATGATGATGATGATGATGCTGATGATGCTGCTGCTGCTGATGATGATGATGATGATGATGATGATGATGATGAGGATGATGTACACCACCTCAAGCACAGAGCTGGCCTGGCACAAGACTTACCGGTTTGGCGAAGCTAATCTGACGTGAGAGCACGCCAGTGCGGCCACGTTCGACAGGCTGCACTACATGGACATTTGCAGAGGTAGGCCACACACATTCCTATATGCCCAATGCAGTCCCACACGCCTACACTGGTGATCCGTCCCATGGTGGGTCAGCCCCCACTTGTCAACCTTGAGCGGATCGTCCCTTAGTGCCCAATTCTGTCTTACTGACATCGGCTGGCTTGTGACAGTAGGATTCCAGAATGAGATTGAAGGTCTTGTCCAACCCCGGGTGCGGTGCTGGTAGGCAAAACCAGGCTCCCAGAGCTCCGTATCCTCTCGGGCGGGTGGTAATGGGGGATGACCTGAATGGGGGGTGAACAAATGGTCCCTAAAGGGGCACTTTAGGGCCCCTTTCGGGCCCCTGCTGGCTCCAAAAGGAGCCCTACAATGCCCCTTTAGGGCTTTTTTTTTCTGAACCCCCCATTATACAGTCAACCCGCATAGTATGGATGGGTCCATCCTTTGCCACTTTCGTTGGCCGCGCCCTGCTCGAAAAGCTTCGCAATGAGCGTCCAAGGCCCTTGCATCCTTATCGCGCATCTTTACTATACTGGTTGACTGTAGGTCATTCCCCATTGCAGCTCGCCCGGTCTTCGTAAGTGTTGAGATGCAGCTGACGTGCACGCTGGCGCCGACCGCTTGGTGCAGCGTGGTCCCCACGACCGAGCCGTAGTATGTATACATGTATTTTTAGAGAGAGTGAGAGGGGCATCTAATTATTGCATATGTGTGTATACATGTATCTGCATCGGTGATGGTTTTGGTACATCTAAATATGCGTCCAGGGGTTGTGTGTATACTGGATGGGCGATCGTCACAGGGCTGGGCGCGATGCCCACCCAGCAGCAGCAGCAGGATTTGATCAAAGCAGGACCCACACATGACGTGCTTTGTTGCGCCACCATCCCTGTCATCTGGGCGTTGGTTTGTCGGCGCCGTGCGGCTGTTCATGGTCTGCGTGCCGTCCATGGCAAGGCCAGGCTGACTTCGTGGTGCTTCGTGAAGATGGCCGCCGGCCCTGCCTTGCTGCCCCTAGCCGTTTAGTGGTAATGGTGATTGCCCTTGGGGCGCCTCAGCGTGGGAATCTCGACTTGGTCGTCCTGTCCCACAGCACGACGCGAGGCCTTTGGTGCCTGCATCCTTCATGTGGAATGCCCCGTTATCGTCCTTTTCTTTTTCCCAACCATCCTGTGGTGTTGGGTCCTCGTTTTGAAGAGACCGCGCCCCGCGTCTCACTCCTCACTCTTCCTCACGCCTCCTCCTGCTCCTCCTGCTGCTGCTGCTGCTCCTCCTCCTCCTTCTCCTCCTCTCCTCCCTCCTCCTCCTCTTCCCTCCTTCCCCTCCTCCTTCTCCTCCTCCTCCTCCCTCCTCCCATTCCTCACTCCTCCCATTCCTCCCCCTCCACCCAAGGTCGCCTCAAACGCTTCGTGGCCCCTGCAGGGAGCTCCACCGAAGGTCCCAGTGATGCCGTCCGCATGGCGGCGCCACCTCATTTCGGCACACCCCTCATACGCATCGTGGCCCCTATAGGGAACTCCACCTAAGGTCCCAGTGGCGCCGTCCGCATGGCGGCGCCGCCTCATTTTGGCACACCCTTCATACGCATCGTGGCCCCTATAGGGAACTCCACCTAAGGTCCCAGTGGCGCCGTCCGCATGGCGGCGCCGCCCCATTTCGGCACACCCCTCACACGTTTCGTGGCCCCATAGCGGGCTCCTCCTACGGTCCCGTTGGCCCCGTCCGAATGGCGGCGCCGCCCCATTTCGGCACACCCATCACACGTTTTTTGTTTTTTTTTCTCCCGAATTTTGTTAACGGTCAGTCAGTCAGAAGCCGTGCATCAATGAGTCGCGTTGGCAAAAGCATCCAGATCATTATTGAACCCGTGCTTGGTGGTGCACCTGCCACTAGTTATACAAACCCTCCAGGTTATGATGACGCGCGGCGGAACAAGGAGCGCATCACGACTGTGAGGCACAAGTACAGAGCACAACGCGACTGTGAAGCAGAAAATACAGCGCCCGACTGTGAAGCACACAACACAAAATATACAACTGGCCGATCAGCAGGAGGAGGGAGGGAGGAGGAGGAGGAGGAGGCGGAGAAGGAGGAGGAGGGAAAAGCAGCAAGACAAAACAAGTCAGACATGCATCTGTTCCAAAGCAAACACTATTTTCGCCCGCTGCTGTCGCGGACGCCCTCTGCCGCGGCGGTGCGCCCAAGTTTTCGGGGTACCAGAAACTTTGGGGCCCCCTCGGGCCTCGAGGCCCCCGCAGGCCCCCGCAGGCCCCCGCAGGCCCCGTGAACCCACGCGGAGCCGCCAGGGAACCCTGCGGCCGCAGGCGCACGAGCAGGCCGTGCGCGGGAGCTCTCTCGCGCCCGGCCCAGCTCCTGCCCGCTGTGGGACCTCCACGCGCCAAGCCTTCCCGACGCTTCTGCGTCTTCCGCCACGCGTCGGAAGCCGGGCAGGGGCTGCTAAGTCCGTGGCTGCTAGAATCGACCTCCTGGAAGTTGTCTGCGTCCTTCCGGGAAGAAGCCCGCTGACTGTTTCGCGTGCCGCGCCTCATTCCGGGAAGTTGCTTGTTCCTTCCGGGAGGGCTGTTTCAGCAGCCACGGTCTTAGCAGCCCTCGCCCAGCTTCCGCCATGCGGTTGGCTTCGGCGCAGCTCTTCCGCTTCCGCCTCGGCCGCGCGGCTCCGGAGAAGCGGCGCGCGGCGCAGAGTTCCGCTGGCCCCAATCATCGGATGCCGATTTCTTCCCTCGCGTGCCACATAGCCTTGCTAACTCCCGGGTCACACGAGCCCGCCTTCTCGAACGAGTCTCCTGCGGCTGCCGAGTGCACCGTCCCCGGCGAGTCCGCCTTCTCCGACGAGTCGGCCTTCTCCGACGAGCTGGCCGCCTTCTCCGACAGCTCCAGATCCTCCTTCTCCAACGAGTCCGCCTCCTCGGTCGAGACACCCTTCTCCGACGATCCCGCCTTCTCGGTCGATCCGTCCGCCGTCTCCGACAGATCCGCCTTCCCCGACGCGTCCGCCATCAGCAGCGCGTCGTCGGCGTTCTCGGACAGCTCCGCCTTCCCCGGCGAGTCCGCCTCCTCGAACGCGTCACCGTCCTCTTCAACGCGCGCATGCTCAGATGAGTCCGCCTTCTGCGACGAATCCACCTTCTCCGATGCGTTGTCCACCTTCTCCGACAGATCCGCCTTCTCCGACGAGTCCGCCTTCTCGCAGGACTGCCCCTCGTATTTCCCGCACTCGCCGGTCACATCGGTGTAGCTGTTGGCGGAGGGCTCCATCCTCGCCCCCTCCGACGTCAGCCAGTGCTTGACCTGCTCCCATGCGTCGCTGTTGCCATAGGCGCACTGCGCCATGGCGAGCCAGTCGATCTCCACCTGGCGGCAGATGGCGAGGCGCAGTCGCCTCTGCGCGCGCCGGCGGCTGCGGCCCACCGCCGCCGAAGGGGGCCTCGCCTCTGGGGGCCCGCACGTCGGCATCAGGTCGGCGCCCCACCAGCGCATGTCGCACGCGCCCTGAGCGGCGGGCTGCGCGCTGGGCGCCTAGCTGCCTGAGCACAGGCGCCTACACCCCTCACGCGTTTCGTGGCCCCTATAGTGAGCTCCACCCAAGGTCCCAGTGGCGCTGGCCGCATGGCGGCACCGCTCCATTTCGGCACACCTCTCACACGTTTCGTGGCCCCATAGGGAGCTCCACCCCATGCCCCAGTGGCGCAGTTCACATGGTGGCTACTCCACCGACGGCCCCAGTGGCACCGCATCTATTTCGGCACACCCCTCACACGTTTCGTGGGCCCATAGGGAATTCCACCGACAGCCCCAGTGGCTACTTTCGCATGCGCTCACCGCAATTTTTGGCACAGCTCTTGCACGTTTCGTGGCCCTATAGGGAGCGCCTCCGAACGCGTTGCATACAACGACGGTGCTCACAACTGCATATGGTTGGGTCCTTCGCCAGGCTAAGTTCGGTGTTGGCCTGGAATCTACCTTCTGTTAGCTGGGACGTGGCGGTAGCCCGGCTTTGTGTAGGTGTTTGGCTCGCGGCGCTGCAGCAGTGCACGTGCGTCGCTGTAACCAAGCTCAGACTCAGCCGATGGATTTTCATGCCCCTCGTCCACCTCCACTTCCATCCTCCCCTTTCCCCTTGGCCTCCTCTCCCTTCCCCCCCTCGCCCTCGTGCTCCGCCCACTCGTCGTCGTCGTCGTTCTCCTCCTCCTCCTCCTCCTCCTCCTCTTCCTCCTCCTCTTCCTCCTCCTGCCCGAGAGGCCTCCTGCAGCACGATGACGTGCAGTGGGAACCAGGTGCTCAGCCAGAGCGCCAACACCCTCTGGTGCCCTGCCTGCGGGAAGGGCTGGCGGGAGACCCGGGGGGGGGGCCAGGAGAGCTCGCGGGAGGCGGCCCTGAGTTCAAGGGGGAACGACTGGAAAAGGAGGAGCGAGCAGGAGGAGCAGGAGGAGAAGGAGGAGGACGATGAGAAGGAGGAGGAGGCTCGCTCGGGCGAGGCGGTTCGCTCTTGCGAGCGAGCAGCCCTGGCCGCGGCGCTCGCCGCCTGAGCCGGCGCGGCTCTACCGGGTAGTCGCGTGGCTCCACTTTGTCTTGTCGGTCAGCTACTCGCTCTCGGTGGGCGTCGGGCGCGCGTCGGTGGATTTTTGTTGTTTTTCATTTTTAGAATCTTGGAGGAGGAGGAGGAGGAGGAGGAGGAGGAGGAGGAGGACGGAGACAACTCAAGAAGTGCCAAACATACCGCAATCCACCCTTCCGTTTCCAAGCTTAGTTGCGTTGAGATGCCCGTTTTGAAACGTCCTTTCGTTCCCAAGCTTAGTTGCCCTTCCGTTCCCAAGCTTAGTTGTTGTTGTCAAAACGTCCGCGTCAACACGCTGCGTGTTGGCTCAACGTGTTGGCCCACTTTTGGGCGAACCTATCGCGCCAACCGTACGCTGCTCCGTGGCAGCACGCTGCGGGTTGCGTGTTGCGCATCGGGGCGGCTGAGTCCCCAAGTCCCCTCCCCGTAGTTCCCTACAGGCACTCCTCTTCCCTGCAGGAGGCACCCCCGTGAAGCGTGAGACAGCACCAATCGACGGGCCTGCCATTTGGGCGAGAGCCGCGTTCTGCAAGCGAGCCGCCGTGCGTCCTCCTTGCGCGCAACCAGACGTGCGGGAAGTGGAGGGTGTCTCCGAAGGGCTTAGGCGACCCGTCCTCCTCCTCCTCCTCCCCCTTCTCCTCCTCCTCCTCCTCCTCCTCCTCCTCCTCCTCCCTCCTCCTCCTCCTCCCTCCTCCTCCTCCTCCTCCTCCCTCCTCCCCCTCCCCCTCCCACTCCTCCTCCTCCTCTTCCTTCTCCTCCTCCTCCTCGGGTCGCCTACGGCCCCGGGGGAAACGGTGCAGCGCGAAGGCATGATCACACACGCAGCTCCACGAGGTGTTCAGCGAGACCTCCGTTTCGAGAAAGGACCGCCCCCCATCGGTGCAAATGTTGCACGAGTCTGCACCCTTGGCCATGCGCCGCCATGACGGCTCAAGCGAGAGCGCCAGTGTAGACGAGGAGCCGTCGTCTCCTCCTCCTCCTGCTCCTCCTCCTCCCATTCGCGCAGTTGCTACTTCTGTTCGAGAACAGCTTTTTCAACAGGAGCTGGGGGCAAAGCTGGCTGCGCTGGTCGAGCTGCGCCACGGGCGAAGACCTCGGCGACCGAAAGTGGGGACCGGTTCATCCCGGCAATTATGATAGAACTGCAGCGCAGCACATGCTATACCATATCCACCTCATGCTTGTGTGGCCGTGATGGTATCAGTTTCAGATAGGTATTGATCCCAGAGTAAGTGGGTCGTGTGGCCGCACGTCTCCGTGCCCTGCCCCCCCCCCCCGCCCTTCGTGCGTCGTGGCGGAGCGAGCCAGTCCTCCACCCCATGTGGCCGCTGCAGCTGCTTGAGACGCGCGTGCGCGGCGCTGGGGCGAGAGCTCGGTTTAGCGAAGGGACCACCCCTGATCCTTGCGACTGTTGCGAGCTTCAAGGACGAGCGTGCGCGGCGCGTCGGCGAGGACCCCGTTTTGAAAACGGCCTGTGCTCCTTCTTTGTACGTGCTGTCATGCTTGTAAGACGACTGTGCGCGGCGCTCTGCGAGAGAGCTCAATTTTGGAAACGGCTTGTGCTCCATCCTTGCAGCTGCTACGCGCAACAAGCTTCAGGATCATACACGGTGATGAAGTCTCAGGCGAAGCGCTCTGCCCGCCCGACCGAAGCGTCGAGAGATGCGACTGGGAGGAGCTATCAAGGGAAAGGGATGGGGAGGTCCGGGGGCAGGAGGATGAAAATGATTGCTGTGATGAGCATGGATGCGGAGGAGGGGGAGGAGAAGAAAAAGGAGGAGGAGGAGGAGGAGTGGTGGGGGAGGTGGGAGATGATGTTGACAATCGCATGAGGAGGAACTCGATGAGGGGGAAGAGCTGGTGGCGTTCATATTACATGCGTCCTCGTTTCGGACTGCGCCGTTGTGGCCAGGCATCTCTTTTGTCTTCGCAAGGTCGCTTCAGCAGCTTCGGATGTGAATGATACCTGGAAAGATGCAGATGTCCCCGGTGGGGGAGGGGTGCCTGGACGGAGTCCGCGCTCGGCTCACGTAAAGCTGGACGCTCGAGCTCGTCGCCAGCACTGGCCGCACAACCGAAGCATAGGTTCCTGCGCCTTCTTCATTACTTTGTGCGCTTGACGGGCGCGCCCAGCCACTCTCTGGCGTTGGCGGCACCTGTGCTCGCGGAGTGATCTCAGGCTGCTCCTTGCAGCGTGCCGGGATGTTCTTGGGCCGAGGATGGAGGCTGATTAGTGGGCCGACCGTGCCAAATCATGGGTACCCTCGTGTCTTGTGTTTCGCGACCCATGCCTTCTGCATTCCTGTGGCAATGTGGCCCTCGGAAGAGTCTTGGGTCCTCTCGCGTGTCCTCTCCAATCAGTTTTCGGTGCCCCCGTCTAGCTTTTTCGCTGGTGCAGCCAACTCAGCCTCACCGCCGTCGGAATATCCTCTCCAATCAGGCCCGACTGTAGTGGGTTGGAGGAGTGATTTGAAGGGAGCTCCAGGGGGAGGAGGAGGAGGACATGGTCGGGAATTGCGAAAGGTGTCCCTGGCTGCCGGCCGAAGGTGCCTCCAGGATTTCCAGAGAGACCCAGGGTGGCCTCCAGGGCACCCCTCGCGAGGCCCAGAGGACCCCAAAGGTCCAGAAGGACGCGACAAGCTATTGACATCTTGGGCCAGGGACACCTTTGGCAACCCCCAGGGGGGGAGGATGACTTTAAGCGGACGCTGGACGGTATGGAATGCGCTTCTCCGCGATCGGGGATGCCTGTCCCAGGGCGGCGGGAAAGCTTACAGTGGAAACCCGTGCCAAGAAACACCCTGCTTACCTCCAGGGTGCCCTGGGTGTCTTGGATTTCGATGGTTTTGCGATGAAACGCGTAGCGTTCCCACACCAACAATCGATCGACGTCTTGGGGTCTCAGGGTTGGGTGTTTGTGGCAGGTTTCTTGTGGTCGAGCTCCTACTGTATGCCCCTCCCAAGGTGGCAGGTCGGGGCATACGTTTTCAAGCCGCCCTGGGACGGGCGTCCCCTGTGGGAGCAGTTAATCTCGGATCGAAGACGCCCACGGCGAGTCAGCGCCGCCCCCCCTGCCTCTTGTCACCGAGCGCGTTCCATTACTTGCAAAGTGCCTACTCGCAAACATCAGAAACGCACATGTTTGCTTTGATGTCATTTGTCGTAGATCCCCCGCGGGGGATCCAGGCCATTTGCGAGTAGTTTTTTTGCAGGTAGTGGAACGCGCTCGTCTATCTTGGAACCGCCCATGTGGCCGAACGTTGTTGCCGAAGCTATCGGACCATGTGTTCCCCCAGCCGCTGTGGAACCCCCTTGGGGAACACTTGGGGCGGAACGGCGGGGAAGATCAGGAGGAGGAGGAGGAGGAGGAAGTTGAGGAGGAGGAGGGGGAGAAGGAGGAGGAGGAGGGGGCATCTTGGGAGCCTCTGGGGTCGCAGTTGGGGCCTCCCGACAGCTTCCAGGGGGCCTAACGGAGGCATCTTGGGGGCCTCCGTGGGCCTCCTCGGGGCTTTTGAGGGCTTCTCGGGGGCCTCTTTGGCCGTCTCAGGGCGTTCCTGGCCCGTCTGACGCCGTCGGAATCCGTCGTGGGGGCCTCTCTGAACCGACTCGGGGCCCTCATTGGGGTGCTCCAGTGCAGTCGTGGAGGCCATCTTGGGCGTCTTGCAGGCCTCTTGGGCGATCTTGGGGGGCCTCTTGGGCCGTCTCGGGCCGTCGGAAGGCCGAACAGAATCAAATGCCCAAATCTCTCCAAGTGCCCGAATCCTTCAAACGCCCAAATCCTTCAAGTGTATAGGATTTAGCACGCCAGGCGCCCCTGCGGCAAGCCAGCAGGGGGCGGCGGATTGAAGACTCCCCCTGGGCTTCGGCCCAGCGCGCCAGCAGCCCAGATGGCCCAAGTTGGCCTCCATGCTCGTCCAAGATAGTCCGAGATGGCCTCCAAGACAGCCCATACCAGTCCAAGATGCCTCCAAGTCCGCCCAAGAAGCCCCCAAGAATGCCCAAGATGGCTCCAAGATGGCTCCAAGATGGCTCCAAGACGGCACAAACGACCCCCAAGACGCCTCCAGGACGGCCCATTGGGCCCCCAAGAGGGCCCCCCAGGAAGGCCCGAAGAGGGACAAATCATTGATTCCCTTTTGGTGTTTGAAAGAATTTGGGCATTCAATCACTTTCGGCCCTCGACGGCCCAAAACGGCCCAAGAGGCCCCCCAAGATCGCCCAAGAGGCTTCCAAGACGGCCAAGATGGCCCCCAAGACGGCCCTGGAGCACCCCAAGAAGGCCCCGAGTCGGCCCATAGAGGCCCCCAAGACGGCTTACGACGGCGTCAGACGGGCCAGGAACGCCCTAAGACGGGCAAAGAAGCCCCCGAGAAGCTTCCGAAGGCCCCCAAGAGGCCCGAGGAGGCCCCCCAGATGCCCCCAAGAGGCTCCCAGGAGGCTCCCAGGAAGCCCCCAGGAGTGCCCACAGAGTCTCCCAGGATGCCCCCTTCTCCTGATCTTCCCCGCCGTTCTCCCCCAGGTGTTCCCCGAAGGGTTTCCACAGCGGCTGGGGAACGCATGATCAGATAGCGTGGTAGAGCTTTTGCCACAGCGCTCGGCCACATGGGCGACTCCAACAGGCATGGGGCGGCGTTGATTCGCCGTAGGCGTCTTCGCCGTAGGCGTTTTCAATCTTTACCAAGTTTAGCACGCCAGGCACCCCTGTGAGAATCAACAGGGGGCGGTGGATGTAATGGCCTTCGGTCCAC